GAGCTGATATTTATGAGGTTACTATTCGGGACACAGGTAAAAATATTCGTTTTAAAGTAGCTTAGGTCCTACAATATTGTGTCAAAAAGAATCATACATCATTTGGCTGGATTTTATGATACCGTTTTTAAACTGTGTATTTAGTAAACTTTCCCTATAAGCGCAATGTAAATTTCAGTGAATCCCATGATTTAGTTAGGAAATGTACTCGCCGGAGTTTACGTTATTGTCTACAGATGGCAACACGTATGGAACCGAAGAGATCACAAACACGGGCGCTTTTAATGAAATTTATTATGTTTTCCTTGCAGTTCCTTTTCTAGTAAAGAAAGACAAAAACTGCCGGTTTATAGTAACTGTATGCGTATATAGGTGTGGGATTACCGCACATGTCAACGTTATCAATTCATTTATTTTATTCTTTATCTTTATTTTGTTTGTAAAACGAAAGACTCCATAGTCCATAATAATTATTCACTGGCATTTTTATTTCAACATATAAGTACAAGTTCTGTCATCATCGACATTTATTTAGTAAAATGTATTTTAGTGTAATAAATGGAGGTAACAAGTCTGCGTAACGTCGAAGTAAGCTGAAAATTGCCCTAAATTATAATATAATACCATTGATTCAATGATAATACACGAAATAAGCTGCTTAGTGCTTATATGGAAGTATAGCGTGAGCATGCGTTTTGGACTCCCCTGTCTGAGGAAGGCAACCCACCGAAACCCAAAATTTAATCACTTGTTCCCTATTTGTGTATCATACATATTTGAGCTTTATACCTCAAAGCATATTGCAGTTATCCTGCGAACGATCGGAAGCACGGTATTGATAAAGTAGCTGTTCGCAATATGCGTGGTACCTACTCCAACAGAAGTATTACAGAATTTGCAGGGAAGTTACCAAATCACAATTTTGTGGGTTTGAAATAGGTTCCAAAATTAGTCCAACATAATTTAAATTTTTGAAATTTGCTTGTAGTTTTCGAAATAATTTAAAATTACACATTGAGTTTGATTTTAAGGAAGTATTTCGAAAGAAAAAACTCTCTTTATGCCATGTTTTGTCAGTCCGTCCGCCCGTATGTCCGCGCTGTTCCCCGTCTAATTCGAGAACGAAAAGAGAAAGCGATCTCAAATCTTCCCCAATCGATTTCTAGGAATTCAAGTATCTGTGACGTCAGTGCTATTGAATATGAACCGGATTATAAGTCGTGTATAATAAAAATTCTTCTAGCACTCTTGAAATTAATTTTTAGAGCATCATCTTAATGTGTTAAAATTCTCTACAAGTTTTCAATGAGAGTCATCCTGAATGTTGGAACCCTCACTTTCCCTTGAAACTACAGGAAAAAACTGCTCATAAATACGAAAGTTTGGTCTGCGCATGCGCAATCCATTTTCTGAGTTGCGTTTTCAATTTTCATTCAACATTTAATTCATTCTTTCCTGCTTTTAAAATTTTAGAAAAAGGACGGACCTCGGAACGGACGTACAGACATACGGACAAAGTAGCCACAATAGCGCATTTTTATTTTTGTGAAAATCCGCTAAAAATACCTCTTAGGACGTTCACCACATCACATTTTTATCTTAAAAGCTATCGTTATATATTCTTTGTCAGCTTATTCAGCATGCAACTAAGGAAAACACTGTTTCTAGGTCGCCAGCGCGACAATATGGAAATGCGCTTCTTCTAAACGTTTGTATTGTAAACAATAATCTTTCATTTTGGTCCTCTTTTTTTTTTAATTAAAAAAGGGCTTTTGTCCGTTCGTTTGAATGAATCCTCGTTACATAGTTATTTGTATAGGTGGCCGAGGCAAAAACTTCTCCCGGTACACCAAACACATATCGCAGCAGCGGTGTACACAATATTTTTTGTACAAGCCCAATATTTATAAATAATAATTAACAATGTTTCAAATTTTCAATTTAAATTTCTAAATTCCTTCTGTCAATTGTGGCCTGCCATGGGAAAGTGTACGTAATAGCACAGCGACGGACCTATGGGGGGGGCAAGGGAGGGGCTGGCTGCCCCTCCAATACTTAAGTAGTTGGCAATTTTGACAAGAGTTGGTAATTTTCATTACCAGTTGGCGAATGCCGCGAAAGTAGGTAAATCGTAAATGTAATAAATCGACCATTGAAGGAATGAGTAATTGCGGCAAAATCTATAAAAAAAGACTCTTTAATAGGAAAGTCACTTCCTTCTTCAACACAAGGTTGGTATTTTGGTAATGCTTTTAATTAGTATTAGAGACCGTATACTGATATCCTACATTTTCTACATGATTTATTAGACTTGGAAATACCACTTAATACTTAATAGATACTACTCCGTTTGAGTTGGAAATTTTTACAGTTGAGTTGGCAAAATGTCATGTCTGCCCCCCCAATTTTTTTGTCTAGGTCCGTCTCTGTAATAGCATGTACCATGCGTAATAGCTATAGCATGCACAGAAAAGTATTTTTTACGCTAGATACGTATTAGCGGTTTCCAAAATTATGCCTACATTGGGATGGGCCCCCAATTTTGTAAATCAACTACTAAATGATAGTAATCAACGTACTTATCTACAACTTCTGCGAGTTCTGCTACTTCTATCGCTTGCTCCAAAACTGGAAAATGGTTGCCATCCATTGGTGGAGTACTATTGTATCGTTTATTAAGCTTATAGATATAAAGAATAAAGCATATTTACTTGCACCGATTCAATTTTTGATCGTTCCATTTTTTTCGGATAGTCATCGAACGTTTCGACCTACGTCGGTGACGTTGCGACAGTGGAATGCTTGTTTTTGGCATTTTTTTCTTAAAAATGTAAAACTTCAAGAAATTAATTAATGAAAGTGATATAACCAAAACCCTTGCAAATGTAAAAACTAAATCAAAAATATAAAACATGTGGAAAAAGTTGCAATACAATATGATTGATATCTTATCACGAATTTTATACGCTGGCTATACCTACCGTTTACACATTTCCTAAATTTAACAGTTCAACTACAACACGGTAAATAAAAGTACCTTGCATGAATATCTGATAAATTTCGTATTTTTTTAAATGATAGTGTGACATTTGTAAATGCAAAGAATTGAATAATATGATCGGACGAAAAATAGTACAATGCGAACGACTTCCGTATAATTATAGTATACTAATAATAATAAACTAGTAGAGGTAAATTTCAACTATTGTGGTCTAATTATTTATTCCTGTGAACACTTTTTAAACCAAATGTATCTAATAAAATTGTACATACACAAACAAAAAATGAGTTGCAAACAAGACAGCGAATGTATACCAAACTTTATATATTTAAGTAGTAATACGATTAATTCGCAATATTTAGGTATTCAGATAAGTAGACACCACCAGCGGCAATCGTTATGGTAACAATTAAGTTAACTTAACTCGGCCCGTACTGCAAAACAGACTTTCGCGCCGATTAAACTGCACTCAACCTTATTTTCGTAACACGCATCCTGATTTACTTACCTTCATAAAGTGACACCTATAGTGTCATCTTTAAATTTCCTGAATGTTTCTGTAAGAAGTACCAACTGGTGTATTGTGTTACCTAACAGGCATAACATACAAAACCTATGCGAGCGCGCGTAGCGGTGATGAATCGTAATACCCGTTGGAGACCCTAGCCTTAAGGAAACGGATTACCTCGTACAAATAGGAAAACTTGTTTCTACTGCATTTCAATCCCGCACATGCTACTTGATATCTACCAAATCTTAAACGAGAAAATCCATATCTCAATAAGCGGCGACGAATTATCTCAATCATATCCTAGATTCCCATTTTCCCATTCAACAACCCATTATGTCAATTTCATTTGCTTTCATCCGAACCGTTACTCATGCGCATGACACCATAAACCCCACACAAAAAACAAGGTATGAAGGATCGCGTACGATTTTCAGGTGGGTAATAATACGACCTTATTTGTAAATGTAAAATTCTTAATCAATGAAACACAATAACCAAAGTTTGTTTGGATTCTAATTTTACGAATAAATACAATACACAGTTTGTTTCTTGCAATTAATTTTCACGGGTCGATTCCTTTAGGCATATTAAATTTACACCGGACAAAATTCTTTAAGGAAATTCCTAAAACTAACCGACCACTACTTTATATTACCAAGGAAATACATATATGGCGTAAGAATATTACTTAAATGCAAATATCAATCGAATGCTACATAAATGGAATTAAGAGAAAAAAAACCGATAATTAATTGTGTATTCACATTGTAAAAAGGCATCGGATTTATGACCTCTTAAACATGTCTTGACCTACTGCAGAAAAAACATTCATAACAAGATCGACATTGGCGTAGTTGTTGCACTATACAGACTTTTAGCCCATCCATTAAAATGCAGCACAGGCGAAGTATTCTCACGACAGTAATCTCATACCAAAATCTTGCATTATCTTGTATTATTTTGCGCTCCTAAATCTTGACTTGATGGGGCTGCAGCTGCAGCTGTTTGGTCCTCCCTTATAACACGTAGTGCCCTACAGTAGAGAGTAGGCTATTACATGGAATGACTAACTTTCGTGGGAAACGACAGAATAGTTAATAATAATAGTTGATATTACATGTTTTCTGCAGGGACTTTCTTTCCTTTTACCATATCTTGTTACTAATTAAACTTCCTGTTTATAATCTGCACAGTAGGTAATTCCCCGAGTTGAGGCTATCTATTTAAATGAAGATCTAGCACATATTTTACTACTGTTGAGTATTAAAACCGCAACTAAAAAAATAAGCTGCTCTCATACACATTTTTTTTTACTAATGTCCATGTGAGTAATTAAATTAACATACCAGATTCAGTAAAACGTACAGAACCGTAAAACATCCGGATAACACTACATTGAATGCATTTGATAAACAGTTGCGCTTGTAACTGAAAGCTTTACATGTTGTTAGTTGTTTATAATCCGCTTACCAACTATTTCGCGGATTGTGATGTGTATATTTTATGGCAACATATTTCATTTCCATTTTTGCATTATTCTAGATGCCCAGGCAACAATATCGGGGCCCTCGGAAGTATTTGTGAAGAAAGGCAGTACAATATCACTTACATGTAGCGTAAACGTTCATTCCACACCACCATCCTCCGTTTTATGGTATCACGGTCCAGCGGTGGTCGACTTCGACTCTCCACGTGGTGGAATTAGTTTAGAAACGGAAAAAACAGAAGCCGGAACGACAAGTAAATTGCTGATCACTAAAGCATTACTGTCTGATTCTGGAAACTATACGTGCGTACCGTCCAACGCAAGTCCTGCGTCAAGCATCGTGCACGTTCTTAATGGTGAGTTAATCATTTTTAGTGTTAATATACCCTTGCTGTTAGCATTGTTGAAATAATCTACCCAATATTGGGTTCAACACATTTACAAAACGGAAGCTTAATTTATTTGTAAGTCGTTTAAATGCAGATTTATTAACATAACAATGTGTAGCAGTCGTGCTCTAATAACTTATTTCTTAATTTGATTTATGTACTCGCAAAGAACTTAATCCTATAAATTCTTATTTCGGAACTCCCTCGCGTGCAAATGGCGTTATATTAGCATTCGATAACTTTCAAGCTTGTTCCAAGAATTAGCATCGACGGCCATAGAAAATTTGGAAACGGTCCAGTAAGGCCAAACACTTGTAAGAAGTTCTTCAATAAGGGCGGTATGTTTTTAAAATTAATACAAAGGCAATTTCTTTGTTTATTTAAAAATACAACATATGACCATAATGTTATCGATCACATATTGTTCAAATGTACACTTCTGCTAGGTTTGCAGCATCGAATTCGACGCACCCAATTCTCCGTAACTTTTTGCAAAAATTTAGGTGTCAAAGCACCTATAGTTCGATGTTTTTTTAAATTTTTTTGGAGATTTTGAGTGCGGCTAACAGGTACTTGACTTGAATTTAAGAGAAAATGTGGGAAAACTGAAGAACTTGAGGACAAATAAAAATCAGATATTGACAAAATTGGCAGAGTCTACAAGAAGGATTTGAGATAAACTTGAGGGGAATATGAGGTGCACGGGAAGAAGATCAAGTGGAGTAAGGTGTGAGTATATTTCAGTGAAACTTAAGAGACATTAATATAAATTGGGCATGGATTCAGAGAAACATGTAGGAAATTTGAGGGGTAGTTGAGGGGAAATTGAGATGATTTTTTTATAATGACTTAAATATTTTCTTAATGAAGACTTATCTGAAATGAATAACATTAAGATGGGGTCTATTCACCCTCAAGTCAAATTGAGAAAATTGTTGGTTGGACCTGAACATTCTGTCGTCATCAAATAGCAAACTAACACAGAATGGACGAAAAAGAAAGCTTGAGGTGTCAAAAAGGAATATATATAGCTGCTATTACCCCCACAATGTGTGGCTGTAGTAGAACTGATATTTTCCGTGATATTGTGCGCTTGCAGTTGGTTGACGGTCTCCCGGGAAATAATATCCATCGTACAAGCTTTCGTCCACAGGAAATGATTTCTGCATGTGGAGATATACTGAAGATGTCAAAGCTTCCCTTTGGAAAGTAGTTTAATGGTTGCTAACCTATTTTTAGATTATCTTCTTTTCAATGCGATGTAGCTTCATGGTTTTACAATTAACGCCGAGTGCTTAAAACTCAAGTAGGTTTTTGCTCATTCGAATCGGAATACCTTCCTTTTCGCTAAGACTTTAAGTAAAATTACCGCTTTACCTTTAACCAATTAAATTCAACTGTGCGCATAAAAGTTCTTTAAACAAAAGATACAAATATCGCGTAACGTCACTTGTATAAAGACAAAGTTTTTTTTAAATAAAATTTAGGCTAGCCCTGACACATTTCAAAGGTGATCACTTACATAGAATTTCTTGTTAGTCTCTACATGTATAAATAAGGCATGCTGAAACTTATACTAAATAATTACATAATGTAATCTTGGTTTTTCCAGGAGAGCACCCAGCCGCAATGCAAACGAGCACAGCTAGTCCAAAACGCCAAGTTCTAGTAATGGTAATCGTATCAGTACTGGTCTTAACTGAAATTAGATGATCTCATCTTTCCTAATGAAGTTCGTTTATTACTATACGACTTTAACGAAATAGTGCTAATAAACTCAAGTGGTGTAAATACTAGAATAAGGTGTGACAATGAAGTGATTTGTGTTTCTCGAAAACTGAAACGTATTTTTAATTCAGATGTGGTGCTATGTTCTATACTCACACCCCATTGAAAACGATATCACCAATGGTTGTGAAAGTGCTTAAAGCAAATTTTTCGGTGGTAAAACGTAAACTTTTGAATACGTCCATGTCGTGTACATACAAACGATGTCGATATAAATCAAACGGACTTAAAAAATCATAGATTATAATAGAACTGTTCACTGTAATAACTATTATTACATGTTCATATTTTATGTAGATCTCCTTCACTGTTAGATATTACAACATTATTGATTCTAGCTTATTTTGAAAATAAAGTTCAAATTATTTTAATAATTTCTGTAGATAAATAACCTTTTTGAAGACTATTAAAATTTGTTTGTACCTCAAATTGTTTTTCAAACCCACTCTAGAATCTCCTACTTTTTTTACCATCAGCTGTTCAGATAGGAAAAAAGTTTCACGTATGCGGGTAGTATACGGGAATCCATGCACCTATCATAACATCAAAATTTAAAGCGACTTATTTGGGCAACATAATTTAACTATTTCTGTACCATATTATTACCTCATGTCTAGCACAACGTAAAAGCCTCATCGACCTTTGAGAGAAGTCTAATAATAACGATGATAAGGTAAGTCAACAAAATTTGTTCTGGAGCGCCGTTGTTTTACTGAGAGCTAATAATATTCATTTTTGGAGTTTATATGTTTATTTACAGGTAATGGTATTATCATATATAATACCATAAGTAGTCGAAGTATTGTCGAATATTTTTGAGGTGCTGTCACGAATGCTAGTTACGCTGATAAAAAGCGTAACTAGCATGAGTGGAGCAGCAGCTCAAAAATAATCTACGAATACTTCGACTACGAATGGTATTCGGAGGACTATTCAATGAATCAAAAGAAAAATTAACCATAATTACCCACGCGAATGTATTTCCATGACAACAATAAACGTCAAAATAAATTACGGAAGTTGCTTTTCATTTTGCTATTGATTCTATTCGAACTTTTGTGCTCCAAGCTAACTCGTTATGAGTGATTAAATTAAAAGATGTGGTGATAAGTCGGTTGTCGAAATTGATTAACAAACTAAGAAGAATGTTCCGGTTAATACAACAAAATTTCGCGACATTTCACTGGTGAAAGCTTGACAAATGTCCTTGAATAATCGCATTGAATTGTCAATTATAATATCACAAGAGCATACAAAATAATCGATTATACTACCGAATAACGAGACGAATGATCCGAAACACCACGAGACCGAAGGTCGAGTGGTGTTTCAACGGATTATTCGTCGAGTTACGAGGTAGTATAAAAATTATTTTGTAATGCTCGAGTGGTATTCGACACGATTATATAATGAATAGAATTTTATTTTGACAGTTATTGTTATTGTCATCAAATATAGTGTATACTAGATTTATGACTTTAAATGACATAGCGAAAACACCAAATCGATTATATCACGTCGTCAAGGGTATAATCGCTTATTAATGCATTGGTATCTAAGGAAAGTGGAAGTTTTGATTGGCTCAATGTCGTATGAATGATATAATCGCTGAAATACCACACGTGAAATTATCGCTGAAATACCACACGTGAAATTATCACTATAATTCGTTCCCATTGGCTCAACAATTTGAAATCTCGACATTTCACTGGTCGAAATGTGACAAATGTTAGATGAATTGAATAGTCAATAAATATCCTTGTGTGTTATTATTTTGTCACAGTAGATATTTGATTACAGAAACATTTCCGAACGATTAGGTATATTTCTACTTCTGTCAGGTAATGGCCAAAACAAATAAAAAAATTATTATATTTAAACATTGCAATTGTGGTAAACGCCTGGGTTTGTGGGTGACCATTACAAATATAGGGAGATCAACTAAACCAATTAAGTAAGTGTGAGCCAATCAATTAGTTGAACCTCGATTAAAATTGCCAGTATCTTGTTGTGTAGACTATTGGCCTGGTGGAAATGGATTCCTTTCGGACCAAAAAACTAAAGAATATTGAAAAATTCAATGCTTCAAGAATAGAATGTTGCATTACGTACGGTACCACAGCATTTCTTAAAAACTAGTACAATTGCGTCATGTTACCTCAATTTTCAAAATCATTCAGTAATTTGTTACTTACACAATTGCCAATTGTTGACAATTAATTAATAAGGAAATTGCACCCGGGACGCTCACTTACGGTGGAGTAGGGGTGGAAGTTGAGTAAACTACATTATAATCGTAATGAATCAAAGGAAGGGGGAATGAGCGGGAGAGACATTTCCTTCATATGTGCCAGCATTATCGATGTATTGAAGATGAAGATGCTCCCTACCCATCTACGCCAACAACAATAAGCTTTTGCATTTGGATTTTGCAGGTTACCAACTTTTTCTATGTCTGCAACAAGCCACTGAGTAGACGGTGTATTATCTTCTTCAACATAAGTCATTTTGTTTACAAGGATGGTGAATTATATTGCATGTATAATAAATAGGTAAAATACTATAAGAAACGCGTGTGGTCTTTGTCTTTAAAGCACTTGCAAAGTTTAACTCGTTGCGCGTGCTTAAAGACTTGATTATGCCTTGTTTCTTAATATACTATTTTTTTCGAAATATTAATAAGTTAAGATAACAAGGATCAATGCGTTCGGTGGCGAGGTGAGCAAAGTTAAGTATTCCTTGTTTCACAAAATATCCATGCTGAAAGGTGATTGTACCTGGTATAATACACGAGACTGCCGATATTAAATTAACATCTCATATTTTCAGCATGTTAGTATAGTCGACATTCTCTGATATGCTTTTTTTCTATAATAATAATCTACATCGATTCATAGGTAACGAACCGTAATGCAGTAACACAATCACAAGTATAAAAATACCATCCCGCGAGATAGCAATTGCAAATTTAATTACTGAAATCGTTACTGAAATTAAACGGAGATAAAATGGCCAAAAGGGAAAAAATTCAAGTCGCTTTGGGATGTAGGGATTTTTTGAATATTCATTATAGTTATGTAATTCATTGTGCGAGGGTATTTATTCGTAGTTTTTTTTCTTTTTCATGCGCCTGATTCATTTTAGTTACAGACGAAAAGAAGCGGAATACAGCTTTGGGTTTAATAAATAAGGCATTTGGTTTCTATTCTAGATTTTCTCAAAGAAGCGCAATAGGTGGGTGTAAAGGTAAGGGGAACCCTCGTAACCTGTCCCCTTCAATTTCAAAATAAATACACCGTTTATTAAATTACGTTCTTGAATCTTGATTTTCTCTTACCTTATTGTAACGTAAATTTAATTATGTGGTTTTATTTATTTAATTAATTAACAATAAATGTGTAACAGTCTTAAAATGGATTAGTTTGTAACAGTAATTACAATTACAGTTACACTCAAGAGCACATTGATTTAGGAACTTAACTTAAATACGCCACAATTTGCTTATATAGTAAACGACAACTGATCTAGAACGTTTCGAAATGTTTTAGAATAAACACGTCATTTTTTCCAGAAGGATTGCGTCACATCCACCTTCGCTCTTTATGGCCAATGACTAATCTTTTAGGCGCCTCGATTTCTGTCGAGATTTCTGGAATATTCGCTAAATCGGCAGTGTTAAAAAAATTAACAATCTTAGTTGTGCTAAATGTGGATGCACAAAATCGGTCGATAAGGAGAGTCTGTTGCTGTTACAATATACCTACGATAAAATAAAATTAATAAAGCAACTGTTTTATAGTTACAAAGCTAACTACGAATATAATAAAAGATAGAAGCCATATTTCTGTTACGATATTGTAACAAATTTGCACTTCATTTAATAAAATCAATGTGTACAATTTTCCTATGTCAATAAATCATTTTAGATTTTAGCTTTAAAAAAGCCTTATGGAATTATTAACCCTTTCGAAAGGAAATGTATAGAACAATAGTTAAAAACAGAAGTTTTATAAATGTCGCATAAATGTAGCAAGGTGAAACAATTTGTGTTCGTATTCCGTAGGTAATCAAACGAAACTACATGAAATGCTATAGTGGGATTGCTTTCATTGGCTGTAATTGGATTTTCGATATTGCGAGAGAATACAAGCTTAAATGGCAATATGAATATTTCTTTTTTCTTTCGCCGTTTTATTTTTTGTATTTCGAAATGAATCTGATCCATACCACATCCTTAATATGAAAAGTAATTTACTAGTCAAACGCTTAAGCTAACTGTAACAAGTTACATATGTTATACTTATCTAATAATATATGCAATCATTTAAAAGTTGTCAACTTTGAAAGTAATATCTTTCACTACAAAAATGTGTTAGTAGTCACTCAAAATAGGAGTTCAATAATTTTCCAGAGTTTTAAACGGTTGTTGTATTCTTGCCAGGTTTCGTTTTGTGTGATAGATTATGAGATGCAACACATCAGTATGATGTTTGTCAACTATCGTATCGGGGTACTAGAAGATCTAAACAGATCCTGGTGCATAACAATTAAATCTGTTAGGTCTGTTGTAGTATCCTTAAGATATTGTTTATAACGTATCGCTGCAGTTATGAGCAGAAAGTTCCGGAATTTGTGCATTGAGGCATAATATGACTGTTTCGGAAGTTATGAATAGTTGCACAGGCCACCAACAAATAAATATCAAGTTAATGATTGCTTGTAAACTGGACCGATGAACTGATTTTACCTTTACAAAAGCATTAAACCAACTCTTGCTGTAGTGAAATTTACGAATAGCGAAGTTCCACTACGACAAAAACACAACAAATCATAACTAATATAAGCTGGTATGATGGTAATAAAGTAAAAGTACTTTTTTGAGTACCTTGAAAGTATATAACATTCAATTTTGTTAACATAAAAAAAAGTTTTAATACACAGTTCTCTGGACAAGTAATTGCAGTTTTATTTGATGTAAAGCTAATCATCATCAATGGAACTACTATCGTTTTAAAAATGGATTCGTTTTCGGGCAACGTGAGGTAACTCCATCAGACCTTAGACCCTGCACGTACGATTCATTTGCATCTCCATCAGAAGAATTAAAGGCATCAGGTAGCATCTTCGACACTTGAACCAGCGTGGGAGGATCAAATCACCTTTCTTCCTTTACTTTACCAATTTCACCAAAACAACACACTTGAATGAGCTCTCGGTCTTTGAGATCCGTGATTCCATTTACATATGCATCATTTTTTTGCTTTCCGATCCTCCATATTAATAATCTATACGTTCAGCATTAAGAGAGCAGTTAAAACAATCTGATTCAGATCTGTTACCTACGCACCACT